TTTCAAATATAATTTTCTATATAACAGAGTATAGCAATGTCCAATAGTACCAAATTATACCTTAATTACAGAAGGAACTACCATATGGCTTACTTGGACTATAAGCAACTTCAGACCATATAATGTAAAACATAGTAACATAAGTTTTAGTCAGCATAACTGAGCCTGTGCAATAGCTCAGTTTTTTAAAATATTTATTTATTTAAACTTTTTAGAGGTAGGGTCTCTCTCCGTTCCCCAGGCTGAGTGCAGTGGTAAGAAGATAGCTCAATGTAGCCTCGAATTCCCGGGTATATATGATCCTCCTGCCTCAGCCTCTCCAGTAGCTGAGACTACAAGCACCATCATACCCAGCTAACTTTTTTTTTAAGAGATAGGTTCTTGCTATGTTGCCCAAGCTGGTCTCAAACTCCTGGCCTCAAGCAATCCTCTGGCCTTGGCCTCCCAAAGTGTTGGAATTACAGGCATAAGCCACTGTTCCCAGCTCTACAGCTCAGTTTTAAAAACAAGATGTTGTATCATAACATGGTTTTAAATATCCTTCTAATAAAGCATGTTGTGTCATAACATGCTTTGACTTTTCTAAATAAATCTGGAATAACCACAAAGGAGATGAAAAAGAATAGAAACTTCATATGGATTCTCACCAATCAGATAAAGCAATATATCACAGAAAGCTATAAAAAGTCATAAAAAATACAGAAAGGTATACAATGTCATTAGATGAAACTGAGATGTTTATTCTATTTTTCAACATTTTTTTACAGCCTATATAAAACAACCATGAAAAAGTAGTAAATTCAATTTAACATAGTCTTCAAAAAAGTTTCCTAGAATGCCTAAAGAGAATAAAATGGAAATAGAAGGCAAGATATGCTCACAAACATAGATCTATTTTAGTTTAAAATGTGTTTCTTAATTTTAAAAGCTATTACATTATATAAAGCCTCATACACACAAGTACAATCATCTAGAAATAGAGAAGACCTTCATTTTAATAGAATTATTACTGTCAAATGCAAACTTCATTAACATTGATTCATGTAATATCCTGGGTTTTGAAACATTGTTCAGAAAAATTTAGAATTTTCTAATTCCCTGCTTATAACAAGAAACCAGGAACATATATATGTAAATATGCTTTAAGTGATTTCCCCCACAAAACAACAGCACACTGAGTAAGGTAGTGAATAGGGAGAAAAGTTCCACTTTATTATTCCAGCATTCAGGGCTCCCACCTAATTAATCAAGAGTCACAGCAAGGCAAGGAAGATGCCTCAGGGCCAGTTCTCACATCCTAATGTATGTTTCCCTGTACATTTCCCCAAATTGGCTCACAGATAAGATATGCAGACCACAAACTGTAAACTATTTAGCTTAATATTATATTTAGTCTCACTTAATCTGAATGCCTTTAGATGGAGATGCACTCTCCAAATCCCACAAACTCCATTATACCCCACTGTCCCATATGTGGCAGCTTAACACATTTTTGTTAATTAACTGCTATCTTTCCAAAAATCATGGTGTATGATGCTGTGCAAAGGAATCCAAACCACCACAGTAAAGAAAGAAAGCTATCTACTAGCTGCAAAGGAACCCTACTGACCACAAAGCTCAAAGTTTTCCAGAAGTAGACAACTAACCTTTCCCTATAGATTACCTAATCCAAGTATTTACCTAGTATGTATCTGGTCCTCTAAGTTTTTCCTGTATTGCCCTCTTGTATTTCTGTCCACCATCCTGAGTTGTAGCTATAAGGAATCCATACTACCCTACTGTATAATTGTAACTCTATGTCTACCTAGTAGCTGAGAAGACCCTCACTGTTCATCTAGTAGCCTTAATCAAAGTACAACTCCTCAAAATCAAGAGACTGAAACATCCATATAAATGAAGAGACTGTAACAGCTATATCTGTCAAAAACAGCTACATGTATCAAAACACAACTCCTGTAATATCTGTTTATTAATAAAATACATCCTTCAAATTTTTTTCTACAAATTTTCTTCATCAGAGTATCTTTGCTTGTTTTCCAGAAATGAAATAAATGGAATAAGATAAAATCCCAGGACAACAAACAAAATTTACCCAATAAAAGAAAGAAAAAAAAAAAAAACAAGGAGAGGCTTAGATTACTACCCTAAAGCCATCATGAATATACAATAAAAATTACTAAATAAACACTCATTACTATATGAGCTTAAAGAATCAACTGAACTTGCTCACAATTCCTTAACATTCTTAAAAATTACTGAGGACTCTAAAGAGTTTATGTGAGTTATATTTTAGACAGTTACCATATGTGAGATATATTTTGGAATATATTTTGTCAGAGACGAAAGTTATGACTCCTGGTTTTTTTTTGCTCTCCATTTGATTGGTAAGTCTTCCACCAACCCTTTGTTTTGAGTCTTTGTATGCCCTTGCTTGTGAGATAGATCTGGATACAGCATACCAATGGGTTTTGACTTTTTATTCAATTTGCCTGTCTGTGTCTTTGATTAGGGCATTTAATCCATTTAAATTTAGGATTAATATTGGTATTTGTGAGTTTAATATTGTTGTTCAATGCTAACTGGTTATTTTGCCCATTAGGTGATACAGATTCTTCATTATGGAGATACTCTTTACCTTTTGGTTAGTTTTTGGGATGACTGATACTGGTTGTTTCTTTCTGTGTATAGTGCTTCTTTTAGAAGCTCTTGTAAAGCAGGCCTGGTGGTGACAAAATCTCTGAGTGCTTGCTTGTTCGCAAAAAAATTTATTTTTCCTTCATTTATGAAGCTTAGTTTGGCTGGATATGAGATTCTGGGTTGAAGATTCTTTTCTTTGAGGATATTAAATATTGACCCCCACTCTCTTCTACTTTGTAGGGTTTCTGCTGAGAGATCTGCTGCAAGACTGATAGGCTTCCCTTTATGGGTAACCTGACCTTTCTCTCTAGCTGCCCTTAGAATTTTCTCCTTTATTTCAATCCTGGTGAATCTAACGATTATGTGTCTTGGGATTGCTCTACTTGAGGAATATCTTTGTGGTGTTCTCTGTATTACCTGGAGTTGAGTATTGTCCTGCCTTACTAGATTAGGAAAGTTTTCCTGAATAATATCCTAAACAATATCTTCCAGCTTGGATTCATTCTCTTTATGACATTCAGGTACACCTATCAAATGTAAATTAGGTCTTTTCACATAGTCCCATATTTCTGGGAGACTTTGCTCATTCCTTTTTACTCTTTCTTCTCTAATCTTGTCTTCTTGTTTCATTTCACTAAGTTGGTCTTCCACCTTTGATATCCTTTCTTCTGCTTGATCAATATGAATGTTAAAACCTGTGCATACTTCACAAAGTTCTTGTATTGTATTCTTCAGTTCCATTAATTCACTTACATTCTTCTCTAAATTGTCTATTCTCTTTAGAATTTTGTCAAACCTTTTTTCAAGGTTCTTAGTTTCTTTACATTGAGCTAGAACATACTGTTTTAACTCACAGAAGGTTCTTATTATCCAGAATTAGAAGCCTAATTCTGTTAATGGAACATACTTGTTCTCCATCGGGCCTTGTTCCCTTGATGATGAGGAACTGTGATCCCCTGTAGAGGGAGAGGCATTCTGATTTTGGGTATTCTCAGCCTTTTTACACTGGTTTCTTCCCATCATTGTAAATTTATCCACCTGTCGTCTTTGTAATTACCGACTTTCAAATTAGGTCTCTGAGTGGACGTCCAACTTGTTGATTCCCAGTGCCGGAATCTGAGCAACCCACTGCGCCAGCTAAAAGAGTGGTGTTAAGATTCACGGTGCTTTTCTGCCCGAGAATCTCCGGTCTGGCTTCCTTCTTGAGTCCATTTTTTAATCAGCTGAATAGGTGACTCTGCCTTCCCAGAGCTCCAAATATCGACCAAAATGGGAGCCAGTACCGTTTACTCTGCACCAAGAACCACCAGGCCGAGGCGCCGGCAAAACTGCCATGCCGGCCACCAGAGTCACGGTGACGACCCGTGGGGCTCCTCTGCTGGGAATCTCCTGATCGGTGAGTAACAAAAATTCGTCTGAAAGTGTGGTGTCCTCTCATTCTCCGCACTTTTACTGGTAGCTACAATCCTGAGCTGCTAGCAATCAGCCATCTTGGATCTACACATTAGAAATTAAAATTGGAATTTTTTTGTAATATTCCTAAATTTAATTTAAATAATGGGCCCATTAAAGAAGTAAACTCTTCTACTAAAATAAATACAATTCACACACAAAAAAAAATTTAAGTGACGAGAGTGGCACTGTTTTACATTTTTGCAAATATCTTTAATGTCTAGATAACCGACATTAAAAAAAAAGGTAGCCGGATTCTCAAAATTGTTTCTATATTCAATGGGTTCTACTGTATGTAATCTCTGGAAGTCTCCACTAATACTTGTGAAAGAACAGAGTTCAGAAAAGTAAGTAACATTTTTATACTGTAATAAAAATAGTTTTAAATTCAGACTACTTGTATGAATCGTAACAAGTCCCCCAAACATTGAATACAACTGACTGTTTAATGTAAAGCCAATAGATTTGAAAGGAATATTATGGAATTTAAAATAACAGTAAAGAGATAGTAATAGAGATATTGAAGACACAGTAATGATTTTACTTAAAGAAATATAGAGCAAGGTTACTCAAATACAGTTTCAGATTCTCATATAAAATATGTTATTTTTTAAACCATAATTGATGAGGCTGAAATGCTGGCATTTTAATGATTTAAGACAACTTGGATTTTCTTTCATTTGATCTGTCAGATCTCACTATAAAAATTTTAATGTATTCCAAATGTCTGACTAGCTTTAAGACTGAAAAAACTCAAAGATATTTACTCTTAAAGTTTTACAACAGTGATCTTGCAACACTTTAAGAATAAATGTTAAAATTTCTTTTATTATTTATACCTGTTACAGGATAATAGAATCAAAACATGTCTTGTGAACATGTTCAACAACTATGGGTTTAAATAAACCTACCTCTTCTGCCGCTGCCTCTGAAAGCAGGCCTTCCTTCTGAGCACAGGTCACATGGAAATAGGCTCTGCACATCCCTGCATCACAGCTAATGCAAACTCCAGTTCTAGCAAAGCGAGGATCTTCACAAAAGCTACACTCCTGCAACAAAACAACAGAAAACTTCTCAAAGCAAACATTTCCAGACTAAAGACTGCATTCTCATACAAAGAATTCACTAAATATTAAAATGCTAAATAGAAACAGTGACCCAATTATGTACCAATAATAATTGTAGGCAAGCCAAGAGTTTATATGAAAAAAGGTAATTTTACCTATAAGGTTCTAATAAATAAAAATTCAACTAATTTAATAACAAATAATAATCATAATTAAAATTATTCGAGGACTTACTATGTGCCAGTCACTATTCTAAGCTCTACACACATACAGACAGTCCCCAATTTACAATGGCTCCACTTGTAATTTTTTGACCTTACAAGGTTGCAAAAGCGATACGCACCCAGCAGAAACCACACTTTCAGTACCCATTCAACCATTCTGTATTCCATTTTTAGTATAGTATTCAATAAATTACATGAGATAGTTAACATTTTATTATAAAATAAAATTTTGTGTTAGATAACTATGTTCAAGTGTAGACTAATGTAAGTTTTCCAAGTATATTTAAGGTAGGCTGTACTAAGCTATGCTCAGTAGGTTAGGTGTATTAAATTAACTTCAACTTAAAATATTTTGAACTTACAATGGATTTATCAGGAATGTAAACCCATTACAAGTCAAGGACTATGTGTATAAATATATATAATCATTAAATACAACTACCATGAAGAAGAGGTACTATAACTATTCACATTTTACACATGAGAAAACTGAGGTAAAGACAAGATATCTGCTTGCCAAAAATAACAAAGATAATAAATGAAAGGATTCAAATCAGGACCGTCTTACTTTAAACCCACCATTAAGCTACACTAATTCTTAAACAATTAAAAAATTGCTTGGTAAATGAAACAAGAGACCAGAGAACATCCAATAAATAATCTAGGCATTACAACCTAGAAATCATACATGTTTTAAATATCTTTAAGACAACTAAAAGTAATTCTAGGTAAACAATTCGGTGCAACTAGTTGTGATATACAATACAGCCAATTATTAACATTCTTTTCTGTATAAAAAGGGAAAATTTATAAAACCAAGGTACGAAATGTTGAAATTACTCCAAATCCTCTCAGATTTATTTTTTATTCTTTTAACTATCTCTTAAAAGGGCAGAAAAGCTAGTCTAAAAATTTAAACAACTCTGGTAACAGAAATCTTCATAAAAGAAAAACATTAAATTATAAAAGACTGACAGTGGACAATTAAAAAATTGTTTAAGTATTCAAAGTGAACAACATAAAAGGAAACAAATAAAAGGAAAATTTAAAAATTTCCGTAGTCAAATCCTGGCATTCTACTGCCTAGTTAAAAGAATTTTTTCAGTAACAGTAGAACATAAAAGGTATAATATACTGGCAAACAATCTAAATATGAAATTAAGAGCGAAAAAGAAATTAAATTATTTAAAGGATGTCAACACTGTGAACAAAGATATTGTTTAGGATAATTCTCTGAGCGGGTAATTTCATGTAAATTGTTAAAATTGCACAAAGGATTTCAGAGTGAATACAAGGAAAAATTTCCTGACAGTCATATTAGACTATAAAACAATCTATCAAATACAACAGAATCTTCCTCAATTGCCTGAATCATTTAAAATGCTAGTGAACCAAGCAACTGAGAACACAGAGAGAGAACATAATTCAGATTGTAAAACGAGTAGACAATGTGGTCTAGAAGGCTATCCCAGTCATAATTCACAACATTGTATCTGATTTTGCTGAGGAGCCAGAGAGTACCTAATTTTCAATTCCATCTCCCAGTGATATTTTCGTAAAGCAAAATAAACAAGAGGAAATTAGCATGGACCTGTTTCTGTACACAGAACCTTACACAAATGAAATTTAATTTAGAAAAACTCCTTATAATAAACCAAATTTTAAAAAAACAAAACAAAAAAAATCAAAAAACAAGCTTCAACAACAGCCAAGTAGACATTAGACAATATAACTGGAAACTTTCTATTAAATCATAACTGTATAGAAATACACAGTTGTAGCCATTTAAGTAATTACTTTACTTTGGTTCCATATTCAGCCAATAAAAGCCCGATGCTCACGATATTAAAGTGGATGTCTCTTTTTTTTTTTGAGACAGAGTCTCACTCTGTCACCAGGCTGGAGTGCAGTGGCACAACCTCAGCTCATTGCAACTTCTGCCTCCCAGGTTCAATCAATTCTCCTGCCTTGGCCTCCCAAGTAGCTGGGATTACAGGTGTGTGCCACCACATCCAGCAAATTTTTGTATTTTTAGTAGAGACAGGGTTTTGCCATGTTAGCCAGTCTGATTTCAAACTCCTGACCTCAGGTGATCTGCCCACCTCGGCCTCCTAAAGTGTTGGGTTTACAGGTGTGAGTCACCACCCCTGGAATGACAATTTCTTAAAATAAAACAACAATGAAGTTTGCTGCAAAGATTCTTTCTTCCTTTTATGAAAGATTTCTTCGTTGCATGTGATGCTGTTTGACAGCATTTTACCAAGGGCTGAACTTCCTTCAAAATTGGAGTCAATCCTCTCAAACCTTCCTGCTGCTTAATCAATACAGTTTATGTAATATTTCAAGTCTTTTGCTGTAATTTCAACAATGTTCACAGCATCTTTACTGGGAGTAGACTCAAGAAACCACTTCCTTTGTTCATCCATGAGAAGTAACTCCTTATCTGTTCAAATTTTATCATAAGATTGCAGCAATCCAGTCATCTCTGGCTACACTTCTAATTCCAGTTCTCTTGCTATTTCTACCACATCAGCAGTAACATCCTTCACTGAAGTCTTCAGTCCCTCAAAGGTATCCGTGAGGGCTGCAATCAGCTTCTTCCAAACTCCTGTTCATATGGCTATGTTGACTTCCTCCCGAGAATCACAAACATTCTTAATGACATCTAGAAAAGTGGTCCTTTCTAGAAGGTTTTCAATTTAGTTTCCCCACATCAATCAGAGGAATCACTATGTATGGCAGCTATAGTCTTATGAAATGTATTTCTTAAAAAAGTAAGACTTTAAAGTCTAAATGACTTCTTGATCTATGGACTTCAGAGTAGCTGTCGCAATAGCAGGCATGAAAACACATTAATCTCCCTGTACTTCATCAGAGCTCTTGGGGTGACCAGGTGCACTGTCAATAAGCAGTACTGTTTTGAAAGGAATCTTTTTTCCTGAGCAGTAGGTCTCAACAAGGGGCTTAAAATATTCAGTAAACCATGCTGTACACAGATGTGCTGTCATCAATGCTTTGTTCTTCCATTTACAGAGCACAGGCAGAGTAGATTTAACATAATTCTTAAGAGCTCTAATATTTTCACAATAGTAAAGGAGCACTGGCTTCAACTTAAAGTTACCAGTTGCACTGGCCCCTAAAGAAGAGAGATAGCCTGCCCTTTAAAGCCAGAAAGTGACTTCTCCTCTCTAGCTATGGAAGTCCTAGATGGCATCTTCTTCCAAAAGAAGGCTGTTTCACCTACACTGAAAATCTGTGCTGAGTATAGCAATCTTCATCATTTGTCTTAGCTAAATCTTCTGGATAACTTGCTGCAGCTTCTCATCACTACCTGCTACACCATCTTCATCTTTTATATTACAGAGATGGCTTCTTTCCTTAAACCTCATGAACCAATCTCTGCTACCTTCCAACTTTTCTTGTGAAGCTTCCTCACCTCTCTCAGCCTTCACAATATTGAACAGTTAAGGCCATGCTCTGGATGAGGTTTCAGCTTAAGGGAATGTTGTGGCTGCTATGATCTATCTAGACTACTAAAATTTTCTCCATATCAACAAGGCTATTTTACTTTCTTATCATTCATGTGTTCACTGGAGCAGCACTTTTAATTTCCTTCAATAACTTTTCCTTTGCATTGACATATTGGGTATTTGGCAGAAGAGGCCCAGCTTTTGGCCTAGCTCGGCTTTTGATATGCCTTCCTCACTAAGCTTAATCATTTCTAGCTTTTAATTTAAAGTGAGAAATGTATGACTATTCCTTCAACTTGAACACTAAGAAGCCATTGTAAATTATTAATTGGCCAAATTCTCTTTTTTTTTTTTTGAGATGGAGTCTTACTTTCTTGCCCAGGCCAGAGTGCTGTGGTGCACTGCAACCTCCGCCTTCCAGGTTCAAGTTATTCTCCTGCCTCAGCCTCATGAGTAGCTGGGATTTCAGGCAGGCACCACCATGCTCGGTTAATTTTTTGTATTTTTAGTAGAGACGGGGTTTCACCATGTTGGCTACGCAGGTCTCGAACTCCTGACCTCAGGTGATCTGCCCCCCTCGGCCTCCAAAAGTGCTGGGATAACAGGTGTGAGCCACCGCACCCATCCCTAATTAGCCAAATTTCAATATCACTGGGTTTCAGTGAACAGAGAGGCCTCCAAGTCAGGGAGAAACTAGGTTGGTGAAGCAGTCAGAACACACATAACTTAAATAAGTTTATCATCTTAAGAGAGAATGTTAACAGCACCACAAAACAATTACAATAACAGTGTCAAAAATCACTTCTAACATTCTTTTTCATAATTTTGACAAATTCCACTTCAAAAGTAAAGCAGAAATTAGGCTTATATTTGATCCGACTAATTGTAAATACGGTTTTGGTCTACATGTTAGGCATAGTGAACAGTGCCAGGGAAATGGTAGTAGTACCAATTATCATTTTACCTCATATATAATTCTAAATTAAGAATGTATAGAAGAATTTATACATTATTGGCTTTCTAGGAAAACTACTATCAATAATAAATGATTTAGTGCTAAATGGAATAATTCCTAGTAAGCATTTCTGCAGTCAACAATAATGCAAATAAAAAGCCATGTAAACTAACAAGCACAAACTTTATCTTTTAAGCAATCAAAAATGCTGTGTCTTACCTTGGCACCATATTTGGAATAGTTCATTTCCGTTAGTGTTACTGGTCGTAATTTGTCAATATCTCCAAAAGCTACTCCAGGAACATACAGGGCACAAACAATATGAACCCATCTAAGGAGAGAATATATGATTTTTCTATCAAATATTTTCACAAAATTCCCACACAAAAAACAAATATATAAAACACATGCCATCTCAAAATACTACTGAGAGAATTCTGTGATCAAATGTTAAAATCTCCTAATCTCAGGCACATCATTAAAAAAAATGAGGGGCCAGATGCGGTGGCTCACGCCTGTAATCCCAGCACTTTGGGAGGCTGAGGCGGGTGGATCACGAGGTCAACAGATCAAGACCATCCTGGTTAACATGGTGAAACCCCGTCTCTACTAAAAATACAAAAGATTAGCTGGGCATGGTGGCTTGTGCCTGTAATCCCAGCTACTCGGGAGGCTGAGGCAGGAGAATTGCCTGAACTTAGAAGGCGGAGATTGTGGTGAGCCGAGAATGCGCCATTGCACTCCAGCCTGGGTAACAAGAGCAAAACTCCGTCTCAAAAAAGAAAAAAAAAAAATGAACCCCCTACAGAATAACACTTAGTTACAAAAAAGGGACTGAAATTACTTTTCCAGCAGCTTAGCCAAAACTGAGAGCTAACAACTATAATTGTCTTTCATTTAAAATTCACTTACTGCCCTTTGCACTTATCTACTATTCTTTTTTTTTTTTTTTTTTGAGACGGAGTTTCACTTTTGTTACCCAGGCTGGAGTGCAATGGTGCAATCTCGGTTCACCGCAATCTCCGACTCCTGGGCTCAGGCAATTCTCCTGCCTCAGCCTCCTGAGTAGCTGGGATTATAGGCACGCGCCACCATGCCCAGCTAATTTTTTGTATTTTTAGTAGAGACGGGGTTTCACCATGTTGACCAGGATGGTCTCGATCTCTTGACCTCGTGATCCACCCGCTTCGGCCTCCCAAAGTGCTGGGACTACAGGCGTGAGCCACGGCGCCCGGCCATCTACTATTCTTAAATATTTACATAAAACTACTATTCAAATGAAACAAAACATCACTTTCATACGCAAGGAAAGGTAGTCACATTCATTATTTTAAGCCCTTTGAGAATTAAGGATCCTAATTTAATAACTGTGAAGTCATTCTGCTGTAATTAAGTAAAATTTCTCTTTCTTGTTACTCTTTTCCAAAAGCTGCTGGGATAATCTTTAAGGACATATTTTACAACAATTTTTGTATACAGTTTTAACTTATTTTCCAGGTTAAAACTTCTGGGAAAACATACAGAATAAGTAAGTCACATTTTCATTCATCTTATTTGTTTATTGTACATCCTACATACTAAAATTTATATGCTCCAAATATAAATATTTGTTAAAGTCTGAATGATGCTATAAGACGTAAAGAATGCTCACAGTTTCAGTACACTGATAAAAAAATTGGAGTTCTAATTTCATTTTTTAAAATCTACTCTGAGCCATTTTTAATATATTAGGTACCCTTTCAGCTTGCTTACAACAAAACAAAATGTGGGATTACTAACTTCAAAATTTAAAAGTAGATCTTATCACTTTTTTAAGAAAGAGGATAAAAATGCGACAGCAAATCTCAATTAACCCTGTGACTATATTAACAACAAATTCTGCTTTATCACAATTTAAGAGGCTATGCCATGCTATTTGGTTCTGGTTTTGTGGTGCATTGTGAGTTTTAAAGAACTAAGACTAAAAATCATTCTGTTGAGGAACTGGGAAAAATAGTTCCAAATCTTTTTAAAAATTGTCTTTTTTATTGGGGAAAAAGCCAAGGTTTTGAGATTTTCTTGATAGAACGTTTTAATCCAACCTCCCAAATGCATCCTGTGGAGTTCAATATAAAAATACACATCTTCGACAAGCAGCTGCTTTCTCAATTTAATTTGTTCAGTTTTTTCATGCTCCACTGATGTATTAAATGTCGCTATACTCTGTAGCAGTTTATCTTTGATAAACCTAACAGCTGGCTGCTTGCTTCATACTGACCTTCTTAAAATGCAGTACACAAGTACTACATATTTAAACTGCCATTACAGTTTGACTGGCACATAAGTATATCATTTCTCCCACTCATGTGAGGATACCAATTTGAATCCTTATTACAATACCTATCAAAGTCAATGAAAATCATGGCTGAGACCATTATGGTACCTTTTAATGCCATTTGTAAGTAGTTTTATGTTCATTTTTTTTAGATGCATATAATTAATAACTTTGCAATTAATAAAACCTGAAAATTAAAAAATAATAATCATCTTCCTTGTTACCTTACCACTGATTTTGCTTGGAGCATTATGACAGATATGGATTGGTGAAAGGAACACCAAACAAGCACCACATAAAGCCACCAGAAAACAGAGTCAGAACTGTCATCCTAGCACAAACTATTAACAGATTATTTTAAATTCATATATTTTAATAAAGCAGACTAAGCAGAATGATACTTCTCAAAAGACTCATTTAAGATTGAAAACTGGCCAGACACAGTGGCTCAAGCCTGTAATCCCAGCACTTTGAGAAGCCAAGGCGGGTGGATCACGAGGTCAAGACATCGAGACCATCCTGGTCAACATGGTGAAACCCTGCCTCTACTAAAAATACAAAAAATTATCTGGGCATAGTGGCGTGTGCTTGTAATCCCAGCTACTCAGGAGGTTAAGGCAGGAGAATTGCCTGAACCCAGGAGGCGGAGATTGCGGTGAGCCGAGATCGCGCCATTGCACTCCAGCCTGGGTAATAAGAACGAAACTCCGTCTCAAAAAAAAAAGACTGAAAACTATATTAATCAATAAAATTGGAGTCTGAAGTGCTGCTCTGTATCAGTAATGCCTTTACAGCATGTAAAACAAATTCATATCAAGTATGTTATTTTCATTCTTTCATTCAGTAATCAATTTAAGTGTATGCTAGGGGTAGAGCACCATAAAGGTAGTTATAAAGATGTATGTGAAGTGCTTACAGCAGAATGTGGCTCAATGTCTTCACTCAAGAAATGTTAACTACAAGGAAAACAAAAGCCTAAAAGCTTTTGTTGAATGGGAGATTTTTCATTTGCATGTGAAGAATTAGTTTCAGAAAGATTAACCGATTCCAAATATAACAAGGCTAGCAAGGGACAGAACTAAGACTTACCAAGTCTAGAAATTTAAAGGAAAAAAATAAAGAACTGGTCAGGCACAGTAGCTCATGCCTGTACTCCCAGAACTTTGGGAGGCAGAGGCAGGAGGATCACTTAAGCTCAGGAGTTCAAGACCAGCCTGGGCAATATGGTGAACCCACATCTCTACAAAAAATACAAAAATTAGCCAGGTGTCATGGCAGGCCCTTGTAGTGCCAGCTACTTGGGAGGCTGAGGTAGGATTGCTGGAGCTTAGGAGGTGGATGTTTACAATGGGCCAACATCATGCCACTGCACTCCAGTCTGGGCAACAAAGCCAGACCTATCTCAAGAAAAAGAAAAAGAAAAAACTGGCCAGGTACAGTGGCTCAGGCCTGTAGTCCTAACACTTTGGGAGGGTGAGATGGAAGGACTGCTTGAGCACAGGAGTTCAAGACCAGCCTAGGCAACAGGCTAAAACCTTGTCTCTACAGAAACATACAAACATTAGCTGGGTGTGGTGGTACATCCAAGTACTCGGGAGGCTTCAGTGGGAGGATCACTCCACTGAGGATCACTTGAGCCCAGGAGGCAGAGGTTGCAGTGAGCCAATATCGTGCCACTGCACTTTAGCCTGGGCAACAGAGCCAGACTCTGTCTCAAGGGGAAAAAAAAGAAAGAACTGAGACATAAACATTTTGATGCTGCCTTTTATTACAACATAAAGCTTGTTTTTAGAAATTAAGGAATTTAGTTCAGAGCCATATTTCATTTCACAATAGCTGGGAGAATACCCAACAAATGACATAAATAAGAAGAGTTTGAGAAATGATAATGGAAACACAACATACCAAAACCGATGTAGAGCAAAAGCAGTAGAAAGAGGGAAGTTTATAGCTGTTAGTGCCTAGTCCAAAAAGAAAATAAAAAATTTCAAATGAGCAATCCAATGATGCATCTTAAAGAACTAGAAAAGCAAGAGCAAACCAAACCCAAAATTAGAAGAAAATAATTAGTAATGATCAGAGCAGAAATAAATAAATTTGAAATGAAAAAATATATACAAAAGATCAATGAAACAAAATGTTGGTATTTTGAAAAGGTAAATAAAACTGACAAACCTTTAGCCAGGCTGAGGAAAAAAAGAGAGAAGATATACATGAAATTAGAAATAAAAAAGGAAACATTATAACTGATATTGCAGAATTTCAAAGGATCATTTCAAAGCAGCTGCTATGCGCAACTATATGCCAATAAAGTAGAAAATCTAGAAGAAATGGATAAATTCCCAGACACATACAACCTAACTTGATTGAACCATGAAGAAATCCAAAGCCTGTATATACCAATAACAAGTAGTGAGAATGGAGATATAATAAAGTCTCCCAGTAAAGAAAAGCCTGGGACCTAATGGCTTCACTGCTGAATTTTACCAAACACTTAAAGAACTAATACCAATCTTACTTAACCTACTCCAAAAAAATAGACACCTTCTATGAGGCCGGTGTTACTCTGATACCAAAACCAGACAAAGACACATCAAAAAAAAAAAAAAAACTACAGGCCAGAATCTCTGGTAAACATTGACGTAAAAATCCTCAACAAAATACTAACACACCAAATTTAACAATACATTAGAAAGATCATTCATTATGACCAAGTAGGATTTATCCCTGGGATGCAAGGATGGTTCAACACAAGCAAGTCAATCAACATGATACATCACATCAACAGAAAGAAGGATAAAACCCCTATGATCATTTCAACTGATGCTGAAAAAGCATTTGATAAAATTCAACATCCCTTCATCATAAAAGCCCCCAAAGACAGGGGACAGAAATACATACCTCAACATAATAAAAGCCATATATGATAGACCCAGAGCTGTATCACACTGAATGGAAAAACTTTCAGTTTTTCCTCTAAGATCTGGACAAGAAGGATGCCCACTCTCATCACTGTT